CTCTCAACAATTGATATTCTGTCACCGACCTGGGCCAGGGGAGCTCCACGCAAGGCTCACACTTTTAAAAGCTTCAGTGCAGCTTTGCCTTTTGACTTAAACAAGGATTACAAGCCAATAATGTTAAAATGCTGCAGTAACTGTGGGGACACTTGGCTTTCCATCGAAGAGTTCAAATAGGACAACATAAAATAATGTTTTAGTTTGGATTTCAAGATAGAAAGGTCAGTTTTATCTTTATAACAGGACCAAGCATACACAAATAATTATAATAACAATTGGGACATACTGGAAAAGCTTTATCCAGCTTCTTTTCAAAAGATGAACAGGTATTTTTGTATGTATAAAAAGTAGCATAAAAAATCTGATTGAAATTCAAATATACTTTGTTCTGTGAAGTTGTCATGTCGATGCTTTGAAATAAACCCTAACCCTTAGTTTATAGATCAATGCAATGCAAAAGAAACTAGGAAACTATCTTATCAACAATGTAGAAAGATCAATGCAAACATTCTATTGATGCAGTACTAATGTTTACTTTGGAATAAATCTGCTTCGTAAAGTAAAGTCATGAAATAGATTTATTTCAAAGTAAACATTATAACTGCAACAATGGAATGTTTGCATTGATCTTTCTACATTTCAGAGAAAATAATTGTTGTGTATAAGTAGTAGAATATAATCATGTTGGATACTTTTGCTAAAGCTGGGCTGGTTTTTGTTAGATCTGGATCACAGAGAGTCTCAAGGTAAAGGTATAGGTAAAGGTGCATTTTATTGATCCCCGTAGGGCAATTCATCGTCTGCATTTGACCCATCCGGATGCCGCTAAGGCTTACGTCAGATGCAGTGGTCGCCGTAGTACAGCGCCCGGGAACCCATCTCCAGATTGGCTTTGCTTGGTCAGGACTACCGGAGCTGGAGGATTTAATATTGCGCATGTTTTAGTGGTAGGGGAAACCGGAGTATCTGAAGGTAACCTACACAAGCACGGGGAGAACATGCAAACTCCACTCAGAAAGACCCTGTTCCGACCGGGATTCGAACTCAGGACCTTCTTGCTGAGTCTCATCCAGTCTGTTGGAATTGACAGGTGTAAGTCCCGCCTCCCTCCATTTTTGGATGTCTCTTTTCAATGGGCTGGGGGGGATTTGGTTGTAGCTATTAGCACTACTTTACTGGATTCAATTATGTTTAGCAGTTGATGTAAATTTGAGCTATATGTGGGTAAATTACTTCCTTTTTTTGTCTCGTTAAGCGGTTATGATTTTAGATCAATAAATGATATAACAAAACCCCAAAATGACTTAACTCCACCTAGAACTTATGATAACAGCCGGCACTGACATTAATATTGCATTCATTACTTAAAAGTAATCGTGGGGTAATGATGTTTGTTCGAGTCAAAAGAGGGGCAATCAAATATTACTAGAATAAAACATAACCTCTTCATTCTTTAGCCTTTTGAGAGTTTGTCATTAAGACTGTAGCACAGATGGTACAGTCGCCGCTGGACTGTGTGGCGCAGACATAAGCCTCATTGAAGTGGAGTGTGTTGGATCCAAAGCCCCAGCCACAGATCTCACTCACCACTCAGCGGCTATAACAGTGCACAAGCAGAGGGCCTATTAGGAGGAATGGCTTCTTCTGGAGGCTGCATTTGTCCCTATGTGATTGTTAAGGATCACCACACAACAATAAGGCCAGCACGGAGCCCGGCAGAAATGTAGACACTAACTACACACTGACCTGACAGATGGACTACTTATCTTTTCCATTAAAGTTGCATACAGACGAAGCGATGACATTCAAAACGGATATCGTTCTCTAGTGTTACTGGGAAAACAATTGAGAAATTCAATATTCATCATTATCAACATTTTGTCTACAGCACTGCATGTTGAAAAGCTTTAGTTATATTCAGAAGAATGAATTGGTTGCATTCATGTGACAACACTACATTCCAAAGTATGTATGAAAGTGATTTCCTGGTAACTTTGGTAACTGTCCTGGACCAATTCAAATCAAACACAAAAGTCCACATCATCTTTGTCAATAAATAGTAACTATAATATTTTACTATTTTAACTATGATATTTTAGCATAAAAGTGTCTAGAAGTGGTGGACGATAGGCTGTCCAGTAAATACAACTTTCGGACTTAGGAATAAAATGGCGGCTTAGTGAATCTAATCAAATAATGAACTGGTAGATAATGATCTCTGGAGTTGTCTCGTCACCTGCCCTCCAACAAAATCAAGCTGGCTATCAACAACAACACCACTAGTATTGGTTTATGTTTGATTTGTATTTGTATTGGATAAATTGTTAATGTTGCATGCACCTGATCTGAACCGTGGAGCGAATATTATCATGCATGTTCCAAACTACCTTCTCTTCCAGGTGACATTTCAACAGATTACAAATACACACCACCAGGCTGCCTGGTGCCTGCCCTCTTTGGACAGTGTAACCCAGTCTATAGCCTTCATAATGTTGGGCGCCTCACTGGGGAGAAGTTTTTTGGCACGTCCCACTGGGAGGAGACCCAGGGGCTAATTTAGGACACGATGGAGAGACTGACCTGGGAATACCTCAAGATACCTCAAGCTCCTTAATGAGCTGAAGGAAGAGTGAGTGAAGAGGGAAGTCTGGGCTATGAGATTATCTGTATTACGTGACGCAATAAGACATACCATAATTCTATTAATGACAACTTTGGCCCTTTATGATGATCTCTGGTACAGTTGAAATCCACACCATTGTATTCGGTCCTGCAGTCTGAAGCTACTCTCAGCCCTCAGTAAAACCTGGTCTCATCAAACCACAGATTCAGAAAACAAAATCCGCAAACAAAGTAAGTAATTAGAGCCGTCTCTGTGGCCGTGGTCAGAGGAGCCTGGGGGAGGGATGCAAACGTGGGTGAATATGAATTACTCAGATATGCACAAAATCTGTGAAAAGTCCATTTTCAGTTGTGAGAGAATCTTTTGTATTCATCACAAGAAGTATGCATTTAGATTTTCAAATGGCTCTTACATAAGATAACAATATCTCTTGATATTTCACTATGTCTTCCTCTCACTTTATTAACTTATTTATCATGTCCAAATGCATTGGTTTCTCCCAACCTGAAGCTATTAACTGTGATATTTGGATTCATTGCTTTTTTCATTTAATTCAAAAATAAATTACATCCATCATAGTTTAGCCTAGGGGCGACAGTGGCTCAGTTGGTAGAGCTTTGGCCTTTGAGCTGTGTCGTCACAGACAGAGCAGCAGCCCTCCTGTGCACTCACCACCTACTGGAGGATCAGTGAGGGCTGATGCTACAGGAGGGTGGCATCTCTGACTGCTACCCCCCGACCCAGAAATTGATTCAGGGGAAGAAAATGGATGGATGGATAGTTTAGGCTACTGTACTACTTACTGTATATATAACCAATCTAACAGTTTTACCATATATTTTCAGCAAAATGTTCAACTTTATTTAGAATGTATCAGCTTTTGAAAGGAATGGGAAGAATACAATATTTTAGACTCTTACCGCATGAACAAAACACATGTACAGGAGTGGGCTGACCGAGTGCAAAAGTGCTGGATCCAATTTCCTTGTATGGGCATTTGTTCTGACAGCAGTACTAGCTTTGTGCAGTAAACAGGGGCAAATGTGATGCAAAGAAGGTTGCAAAGGCTAAAGCTAAAGTTTCCTTGGAGAATAAAGGCAAATGATTAGTCAATCCTTATGGCTCATATCTGGATTCACAAATTCAATAACACAAAAACACCACGGTCATAGAGAGCTATACAACACAGATACGTTTTCAATGTAAGTCAATAAGAGAGTTCGTCCATGAGCACTTCCCTATTGGGCTTCATTGTGTTAGGGGGATGGCATTATCTATCTATAAAGTCATTTTCCTTTTTTAAGGGATTGAAAACCACACACATTTAAAAACTGAGATTTGGCAGAACTAGCCACATATTATATAAACAACAGGACTTGGAATTTCAAAGCACTTCTTGCAACTAGCTTCATCTCACCAACTTTCAAAACCAGGAGGATGTAAGAAGTTTTTCTATATAGTGTTATGACAGAAGAATCGTCTATTGTCGGTTGTTATTTCAAGGCCAGCATAATAAGCTTCCCAATTAGCACCGTGCCTTCGGCTTTGGTCAGTCTTGAGTCCAAACCAAATGATCAGTCAAAGTCTACATTCCAGACTCAGTTTGGCAAAAACATGTGGGTCTGTTCAGCCAAATATAGACTTCTATAACAAGTTGTAATACATGCCAGTGATAGAAACTGACAACCATGGTAACTGCCTTCTTTCAACTGTTGTGCCTGCTCTAAACTTGAACTGAATTTGACCATTTGAAAGCCAGATGTCGTCAGACTCTGAAGCTAAGCAGGGCAGGCCCCGGTTAGTACTGGGGGCTAACTATAACTTTGCAGATATTCAATTCAATTTACAGTAGTTATCTCAGAAGACCTAACACAACAGTTGAATTCACCAATCAGATAATAAGTCAGGTCAGACACAAGAAATGCATTGATAAAAACTCTCACAAGGCTTTGATTGGAGGTTTGAGCCAAAGATCACAAAGGCTTGATCATTTGATCAGGCTTAAATCATTCCTGCACTTTTTGTAAATGATACAAACTTAATTTCACATCTAAAATATCACGGTGTTTATCTCCTGCGTGATATATCTAACTGACATTTCTTATCCAAAAAACTTATGACATATAAAGGAAAAACATAAAATTGATAGGGGTGCCCAAACTTTTGCACAACACATTAGTATGGTTTTAATTTTCACTGCTGCCATAACATTTGGAGTCCAAGGTGAAATGTGTATTCCCGTTTTTGCACAATGCATTTTTTATATCTTTTTCCTACAGATCGGTACTTTTACAAAAGTTAACTTTATAACTTGGATATGTTTTCTATAACTGCAAGTCTCACAAACAAGTACTATTCTATAATTGTATCATACCAGTGTCCAGCTTGGTTCCTTTGGCGCAGGCCACAATGGCTCCCATGCTGGGCTGAGAGGTCATCCCCGCCATGGAGTCCACCTGCCAAACAACAACTGTTATGTACAGGAAAAAGAAAACAACATTTCTTATGTTCACGGGCGACAGAAATGTTGAAGAAAGGCTCAGTCGTCAACACATCACCTTTGGTCAAACTCTTACTTCCTCTGAGACCCACTTGCTATATCGACAAAGAAATGCCACACAAAAGCTACAACTGGGACCATAAGGAAGATAACTTTTTAATACTTGGTTTTGAAAAAAGGTACTTGTGTTGTTCACCCTGCCTTTTCATATGCAAGAAAAGATTTACAGGTTCCTGGCTGGCTTTTGCTACAGGCTGTGATTGGAGGAGCAACTTCCCTCCTGACCAATCCTGCTTCTTCACCTGGAGTCCTCCCCCTTATTAGGTCACAGTCTACACCTGTCTGGACCTGAAGAGTGATGAATCGTCCCTGGTAACTTGTCTTGTTACCCAAGATTCATTCTGTTAACCAACTGTTCTTTTCCCTGTCATTAATAACATATTTTCCCATTTTACAAATGGTTTTTGTTGCCTTGTTGAGCTGTGTCTGTTGGTCTAACCTCCCAAAGCTCTCATCACGTCATTTTAAAGGATTTTTGATATGCGACACTACTGTATTGATAACACATCAGAGCTTATGGTGAAATGATATATGGCCAGAAATCAATACTTGGTCCCACATAGGTGCACAATATTAACATTATTGACCGGGATGTCAAAAGTCTCCAGGAAGTGTTTAATTTTTCATTCTGAGAAAAGAAATGGTTCAGTACATAAAGCTGATAGTGGGCAGTGGAGTGCGACTCAGTGTCACCATATTTCTTGGAAAGGTGAAAAATGACGGTTTGTGTCTTAAACAGGGGAATGGTCATTTATCATACATTAAGAAAGAAAGACAGAAAGAGTCTTGTAAATGTAAATATTGTGAACAAATCAGACCACAGCATGTTGTCTTCATCATATTATAAAACATGTCATCTTTTGATACTCACAGAAAGATCCCTGTGAGTATTTGACACATTGGGCTGAGAGCTGAGTGAGTGGACTTAAGACTTTAGTCTGAAAAAGCTGATCTGAACTGAATGTGACAGAGGCCAAAATGCATGCATGCACAAGTGAAAATGTTTTTGATCAGTTCTATCAGTTTTCTGAAATGCGCTATAACAATCATGAATAACATAATAGATTCTTACCTAAAAACTGTTTAAGAAATAGGAAATCCTATTCTGGAACTATTCTATTCTTCATTGTGAAGCAGAATTCACCAAGCGTTGTTCATCCACTAATGGGGTACATGGGCACAGTTCCGACCCAGAAAGGTTAGTTTTACCCAACTGATTAAGATTAAGAGATCCTTTAATTGTCCCACAGTGGGGAAATTCCAGTGTTGCATCACAAGTTATATAACAGTAGGAAAGAGGAGCACACGGCACAAGTGAAGTGAACAATAGGTATACTAATTACAATAAAACTACATTTCTAATTCTAGCATCAATAACAAGTATAAAATCTCCATCTTGAAAATAATAATAATAAAAAATATAAAAGTTTTACATTAGGCAAAATAAGAGGTGTGATGGCAAGCGACTAGTATTCATGCAACCCTGCCTGTGTCTATTCATATGTCATATGTCCCTGTTCCAGGAAGGAGCCGGGCCCCCCCCGACACCTACAGACAATGGCGCAAATCACTGTCCTCCCTTTCGCCTCTTGCATATCTATCGGTCTGTATGTGTGCATCTTCTACGTCCTGCTGTCTGTCACACCCTTGTGTCTTCCGTGTCTTGCATCTGTATGACCTGCATTTAGACCATTGTCTGTCTGTTCGCACCTCGTTCCCAGACGGCGCCAAACGCTCCCCATGCGCCTCCTCACGGGTGGCCCCCTCCAATCTGTTGTGGGCGGGACTGTCTCTCGTGTGTGTCTTGTATACAGGAAACTTGGGGCTCTGCCCTCAGAGCTAGTACATGCTGCCTTGTGTATGTGCTGACTCTCCGTACGTATGTTAACAATAAACTTACGCTTTTGATAAGACAAAGACCTTTGAGTTTTCTCCCTTCATTGGGTAGAAACTTCCTTAACAATTTGGCGTTGCTGACATGTCTTGGCATGGATACTTTCGGCGGGGGACGAGCGGCTTTGTTTGGCCGACCTGGATCACCAGCCTCTGTTCCTTTTTGGAGACAAAGGAGGGCGCGCTCGTCCCGCGCACGGAAGGAATCCTTTTTTGCCACACAAGACCAAAAAGAACCTAATCTGGTGAGTTCTTGTCTTTTCATCTGCGTAACGAGCCCAGGGCAGCCCTTAAGTCGACACGGGGATTTGTTTATTTATGTATTTTTGGGGTATTTCATTCATTGCCACAGCATAGTCTGTGCGGGATTTTTTGGGGGGCTTTTTGTTCTAGATTGAAGCTAGCGGCTGCGCGTTAGTATCGCATTGTAAGCGACCCTGGAATCTCTGAGTGTCTTCAGCCAGAACCGCTCCGTTTTCAAGAACGCGCGCTCGCTGGTTGAACCAGCGGGGGGGGGGGAACGGAGCGCCCCAAAGTGGGTAAGAGCAGGGAGAGACTAAGCGGGTTAGGCCCATTGTTCGTACGAGAAAATGGGTAAAATCAATCTACAGATGCAAGCTATGAAGTGCTTGCCTATGGTGCAGGTCATCTGCGTGATAATTTAGAAGAAGGGAAGAAAAAAAATATACTTGGTTTTAAGAATATCACGGCAAAAGAGGTTAGAGAAAGAAATATGTAAAAACAATAGCTCCTCCGCCTTTCACCAAAGCGGAGAACACACAGGCGCACGACACACGGTGCGGTCGCGAGCGTCGAGCGACCGACACGGAGAGAGTGGCGGGGGGCGGGCTGTGTGCTCGGGGACGGGGGGGGGGGGGGGGGGGGGGGGGGGGGGGGGGGGGGGGGGGGGGGGGGGGGGGGGGGGGGGGGGGGACGAGGGGAGGCACAGGAACTCCGGATGCTAAGGTGGTGTGTGGGTAGCGCGCCCAAACAAGGCGTTGGGTTGTTAAATAAATAAGCAACTTCTGTTGTCCTCTTGTTGCCCGGTGGGGGGGGGGGGGGGGGGGGGGGGGGGGCGTGCCCGTAGAAGCCTCTAGGCTGCGGCGCGCCTTTCCTTCCGCGCCCTGTCCTCTGCCCTCAAAGCACCAGGCCCCCAGCCCCAACCACAGGGGGCGGCGCCCGACTCCAGCTGAGACCCCGCGAGAAGTGGGCCCAAACCGCAGAAGAAGAAGAGGCGGAAACAGACACACGCTCAGGAAACCACAGAAGAAGAAGCGAGGGAAACAAATATGTGAGACACCGACAACTGCTTTGGAGCACAGAGAGAAACTGCTCCAAATCCCGTGACTGTTCTCCACGGAGGGGGCAGCGTGATATACCAAACGCACCCGCGGAAACCCCCTTGAAAGTTGTTCCCGCACCGCAAACAGAAGAAGCCATTGTGACCGGCACGTTTGGGTTATTCACCAACCCTCATGGACCACATGCTAACGCTTTGGGCTACCTGGGCCTCCTGCGGACTTTGAAAAACTTCCACAGCCCGGCGGAAAGACTGTGTGCTCGACATGGGTCGAAGGACTGTTACCGGAGGAGGCGTTAAAGGCAGAGGAACGCTCAAGCTAACACGGGGCCAGTCTGGACTCAGAGGCGGGCACGGACGGCAGAGGCGGGCACGGAGAAACGTCACCGAACGCGACTGACCAAACCTGGGTTCACATTCGGCTCAGAGACCTCACCAAAGACTTTATTGAAAAAAAAAAAACCAAACCCTGAGATTGCTAAGTAACATAAGTGAAAATAAACAGTTTTTTGCAGTGTAGGTAGGCTACAGTACGTTTATTGAGATAGCACCACTCAAAGGTGAAGTAAAGTTTGAGACTATTTACATTTTTAATGAATCCGGGCTTTATTGAAAAAAAAAAAATAAATAAGGAAAATAAACATTTTTTAGGTGACAAGAGCTCATTAGAGATATAGGGGACACTGTTGATAAGCCCGAAATACAGACCACGTGGTAAACACTAAAGTTGGAAATGGATCCTTTTAGGAAAACTCTTTTAAAGCTCTACAGGCTCTGAAAGTTGCAACAATAAGAAATAGCTCATGAGACAATTGGAATTGGACATGGAAAAATATAACAAAGTTAAAAGTACAGGCCTTCTGTGTGTGTTACATGTTTGTGTGTTATATGTTTTGTGTATGTTATATGTTTGTGTGTCATGTCAAAGTACACTACGCTGACCTTAACAAATTCTGGACCAATACTAACGTGGGGAATCGGCCTGTGATGTGACTGTGATGTGACTGTGATGTGACTGTGATGTGAGTGTGGAGTGAAATGAGGAATGCTGAACGGAATCATGGAATAACAAATGTGTCTGTAATGTTTTAATGTGATCATGGAATAATTCTTTTTTGTCAACAGCATACGGTGTAAGTACTAGAGATTCAAAGATAACGACCTTTATTGAACAGGTGTAAAAGTGAGAGTACTCTGGGATGAGTACTCTGAGAAAAGTACTCTGCGGAAAGTACTCGGAGATGAAATACCTCGCTGAAGATATTGGGAGTTCCTCACTCTGCTGTTTGCCCTGACAGTGATTCGGTCCAACCGCAGTGAGCTGTCGTTGGTTGAAGGACAACTTTGGTTCGTAAACTCACATTTAGGGGAGTATAAAATTAGTAACATACATTTTGTTGTTCTGTATCTGGCTACAGCCTCCGCCCTGATGCCACACACCGTCTGTCAATGCAGTTATGTTTTGCCCAATTGGGAAAAAGATTGACAAGCGAAAGTGGGCATTTTTTGTGTTTTTTTTGTGTTCTGATATTTCTTTTTCAGATGAGAGATAAACTACCCCTGCTCCAGGGATGACAGTAGTATGGATCAGGAGGAAATGAGCCTCCACTTTGGCACAAAAGCCCACAATATGAATTGAGGACGATCCGGGAGAAAAGCAACTGGAGATGAACGGAACAGTCGGTACTTTTGCAGCCTCACTGAGGGCCACTGAGACCCACTGCTTACTTCTCAGCAAAACTCGATCCCGTGGCAGCAGGGTTGCCTCGCTGCCTGCGGGCTGTGGCTGCCGCTGAGAAAGCGGCCCTAGCATCACGTGACCTTGTGGGATACACTGAACTAACTTTGCTTGTGCCCCATGCTGTTTCCCTGATCCTGTTAGAGCAGAGGGCCTCTCGCCTTTCTGCGGCTCGTTGGCTGGGGTACAACACGGTGCTCTTTGAACTACGGTGAAGGGATGCACACAGCTGAACCCCCCCTCGCTGCTGCCCACGCCAGAGGAAGGGGAGGCACACTGCTGTATCGCCACAATAGAACAGATATGCACTCCCAGGCCAGACTTGAAAGAGGTGCCTCTGACTAATCCTGACTTGATTTTTTTATATACAGACGGAGCCGCGTCACGTGACAACACTGGGAAGAACCGAGTCGGCTATGCTGTGTGTTCTGATTTTGATACTATAGACTCTGGTAGTTTGCCCCACTACCATTCAGCACAAACCGCTGAACTGGTCGCGCCCACCGGGGCTGGCAGCGGGCAAAACGGTTAACATATTCTGTGATACGCGTTATGGTTTCTCTGTGGTGCACGACTGGGAAGCACTGTGGAAACACCGCAATTTTATGAAATCTGATGGTAAACCAATTCTTAATTCCACACAGGTTGAACGTCTACTGAGAGCTGTAATGTTGCCCTTAGAGATCGCTGTATGCAAATGCCAGGCCCACACTAATGCCACTGATCCCATCTCTGCAGGGAATCGGCGTGCGGACAAGGCAGCGGCATACGCACCTCTACACACACACACACACTACCTCACTCAAGACGTTGATATTTTCTACTCCAGCAGAGACGCTGCTGTGGGAGGGGAATGGGGCTCAACGACGGCATGGTGTGTGTGGCTGGGACCAGACAGCAAACCGTGCCTACCACGGCATTTCTTCAGACAGTTTGCAATTTTAGCACATGGTCGAGACCATGCCTCAAAAGGAGGGATGATGTGTGATTTAATCACACAAAATTGGTATACAAAGGGGTTTACGGCATTTGCACAGAGATTCAGCCAAACATGCGCTATATGCCCCGCGCACAACCCAGGTAAGTCCCAAAAGTATCCAACAGGCTGCTCATCCTCCGCCCCTGCGCCCATTTCAACATGTCCAAAGGGACTTTGTTGAACTCACACCATGCCAAGGTAAGTAATACTGTCTGGGTCTGGCGGATCTCTGGTCCAAATGGACTGAAGTATTTGCAGGCATACACGCCACGAGCAACGCGGTGGTGAGTCACTTTGTAGCAAAAGTCATTGAGGAAGTGGGTGAATTTCTGGGCATTGATATACGTAAACACTGCAGTTACGCCCCCTGGTCCGGAGGCACGTGCGAGCGAGAGAATGGCACTCAAAGCTCTGCCGCTAGCCCCACGTTGGGCGCGGGACCCCCGAACAGAGATCTGCCAAGCACCTCTTTGTGTGATGACGACATGCTGTCCTATTGTAAGGAAATTAATGCACTTTTGTCCTCTATTTCTGCCCAGGTCAGGAGCGCCCTGCCACAGGCTGCGCAGGCGACTGGGTCCTGATGAAGGAAACGAGACGAAAGCATTGGCGGTCCAAGCGCTGGCTCGGCCCATTCCTCGCCCTCCTGGTGACGGACACTGCCGTTAAGGTCGCGGAGAGGACAACTTGGATCCACGCCAACCACTGTCGTGCGGTGCTGCCACTGAGGGCCATAGACGAGGACACCGAGGGCGCGGACGGACCAGGCCCATCCGCGGCTCCCTACGCTGAAGAGGTTGGCCGGCGTGCGGCCACCATCGGTGAAGCAGGCCAACAACAACACCCAGAGGATCCCAGCGTTGCCGAGGCAACCCCCCTTTGCCCAACTCCCCACCCCCCGGACCCCAAGGCCACACCCCAAATCCCGAGCACTCTGCCCAACCGAGTGCTGAGGCCAAGGCTTCAACGCAAATAGAGTCTTGCCGCTCCAAGACCAAACATCGCCATGACCACTAACGCTCCACACACGCTCATAGGGAGCGGTGCCACTGACTGCAAGGCGGCACTGTTCGACCGGCTGGTCCTGGACCACCTGACCGCGTCTGTGGGAGGCGTATGCACGATCATCGGGTCGTCCTGCTGTACATATATTCCGGCCAACGATGAGGACGGAGGTCTTATCCAACAGGGCATAGCCAATCTGACTAGACTCCGGGACGCCATGCAAGCGGACAATGTCACGGACACTCCTCACGGTCTGGACTGGCTCCTGTCCTCCTGGCGAAGTGTGCTCATTAATCTTGGTTTAGCCCTATTGACCGTTATGATTTTATTTTCATGTGTATTACCCATGGTGTTTCGGGCCGTTGGTAAAATGATATCCACTCACTTTGTGTCCATTCAACACAGAGACCCTGAGGCGGACCTGGCCGCGGTCCCACTGAACTCCGATCCTGATTATATCAGCGATTCGGACGACGACTTTGTCTAACGTTTTTCTTTCTTGTTTACTTTGTTTTTATTTTTCCACTTGTTCCGCCCACAATTTAGGGGGAGGGTATCACAGCGAAGAGCTTTGACCACACCCCCGTAATACAAGAGGCTTGGGTGACGGCGGCGTAACCTGCCCATCAACAACTCTTCTTTTACTCAGGGGCTAAGGTCAATACTCACACACCTGAATGTGATCTCTGTAAAACTGGGGTTTTTACATTATCACGGGAAAGGAGTGTGATGGCAAGCGACTAGTATTCATGCAACCCTGCCTGTGTCTATTCATATGTCATATGTCCCTGTTCCAGGAAGGAGCCGGGCCCCCCCCGACACCTACAGACAATGGCGCAAATCACTGTCCTCCCTTTCGCCTCTTGCATATCTATCGGTCTGTATGTGTGCATCTTCTACATCCTGCTGCCTGTCACACCCTTGTGTCTTCCGTGTCTTGCATCTGTATGACCTGCATTTAGACCATTGTCTGTCTGTTCGCACCTCGTTCCCAGACGGCGCCAAACGCTCCCCATGCGCCTCCTCACGGGTGGCCCCCTCCAATCTGTTGTGGGCGGGACTGTCTCTCGTGTGTGTCTTGTATACAGGAAACTTGGGGCTCTGCCCTCAGAGCTAGTACATGCTGCCTTGTGTATGTGCTGACTCTCCGTACGTATGTTAACAATAAACTTACGCTTTTGATAAGACAAAGACCTTTGAGTTTTCTCCTTCATTGGGTAGAAACTTCCTTAACAGAGGCAAGTATAAAGTACTGTGTATTCTAGTGCAAGAAATGTTTAGTTATATATTAGCATCTGTACATTAGCAGCAGTAGGTTTACACCTGTAAATTAGCAGCATGAGGCTCTGAGACACAGGGACTTAGTGACATGTGGTTATTGCACATTCTGATATGAGTTAAGGATATTGAAACGACGCATGACACGTGGGATCAAGTTGCCAGTGTTCATTAGTCCTCAAAGTGTTGTTGCATTAGGAATCCTATAGATTTTTCTTTTGTTGAAGTTTGAACGTTATGTACCCCCTCTAATCTATGATGAAAATTACCCACATTTCAGCCTTGGTGTGTTAACCTAAAACTTAAGGTAATGATACAAGAAAATGAAAAAAACAAGCAGGAGAGACTTGCATGAATATCATTACTGAATATCAAAACACATTTAATCAAAGTGGGTATATTTAAAGAATTGACTGGAGATGGAAATATATTTCTTTAAAGCAATGATTCTGAAAATGAACTTACAGCAACATCCACTACGTCAGCTCCAGCTTCGGCACAGGCCAGCATGGCAGCCACGCCTGCCCCGGCCGTGTCGTGGGTGTGTACATGGATGGGGACGTCAGGGAAGCGGTCTCTCAGAGATCCAATCAGGAGTTTACTGGCTTCTGGCTTCAGCAGACCGGCCATGTCCTAGACACACACACACACACACAAAAGTCAAACATGTTTTTGTCTTTTTTACAAATAAACATTCACATTCTCCTCCAAATTGTGTTGGGCTGCAATCATAGATGGATGTATATAGATGGACAATACTAAATTTTTTTTTTTTGAGTTGCTCTTTGTCCATGCAGGAGGGTTTAAGGACAGTGATGATCTGGGACGTTTAAGGACATTAATAGACATTGGTCATCCTGCCCCCCATGGACCAATGGCTCCTTTATGATTTTGCATTATTGCTGTGTTTGAACTGTTTAACTCTCTGATCTGTTGTTGGTGAATTGCCAACATTGCAATATTGACAATAATAAGGTTTAGTGCAAAAACAAAATCAATTCAACTGAATATAAAGCCATTCTACATGCCTTTACCAAAGAGTAAAACTTAATAATAAATGAGCAAACCTATTGAACAGTTTATCATATTTTCCTTAGCAGTGACATTCTTATAAGTACATTTATCATTCAGCCCACTTAGAATGGCATTATGTTGGCCTATTTTTGCAAAACAAAATAAATATGACGAGTAACGTGTGATTGCAAAACATTATGAACCGGATACATTTAGAATTCAGAATGAATTGTGTTTATCTGATTGTTCCTCTATAAATAGTTATCATTGAAATATTTTCTGGGCCAATGATTCACATTTCAAACTGCTCAGGTGGAAGCGCCGCAACCTCTCAGCCTCCAGCGAGATGTCACCTGAAACAATGTGTTTCCATTGAACAATTGCAGAAAACTAAATATAGCGTGTGTTGGCGTGTTTGTAATTATGTGGGAAGGGCTTTGCATTGGCAGGGGGAAGAAATAACCTCAGGAACCAGGGTTGCACAAAAGGTTTCACAAATTGGTGAATGAGGTGGTTTTGGAGAGGAGGATGGTGCCATTGTCTCTCTTTCTTTTTCTTTTGACTGTGATCGTGCGGCTGCTTAAGTCTGAACCCGGTCTGATCCAGAAACCAGACCAGACCAGAGACCGGCATTGGACTGATCCAAACCTGAGAGCTGACCATTTGGGAAGTAGTGATTAGGGATTCAACCATAGACTGATTTTAGAAGAGGACTGACCGAATGTTGAAGTCTCTACAGTTGTTGCCCAATAGAAAGTAAGTTGATTTGAACAAAAGCCAAATTCCTTAGATGGGTATTTGATTCATCTGGGTTAGTTTTGCGCCATAACAGGTGCAGATGTGTTGCTAACATGGTGAGGGCAAGCTGGAGTTTACCCCGGTGAATGAAGGGATCTGATTGGCTTGTATATGGATTTACAAAGAGAATAAAAAACTAAAGTAACACAAACGGTGACTGTGCTAGAAAAGTTTCCTAACCGTAAGATAACAGGAGCCCGAGTGAGTAGGAGCCAGTTGAAATTGAAGCCAATAATGGTGGATAATGCAGATGTGGATTTAAGTGTTTGGTTTAAGGAGCTATGAGATATTTGTAACTGCTGTTGAGGAGTTCAACAGAACCGGGGTATTGTATTGTAAGGACTGGAAAGGGCATTACTAGCTTTCGTTACTCTCCAGAACATGCTCACTTAAACAGCAGTTAAAATTATAATGAGCTCAATCGTCCTCAATGTTTACAAAAACTGCACATGCTCAGCTGACCGGGCGCCTACTGTTTTCCTGTCTGGAAAAATACTCCTGACCAACTCTGACTTTTTATCGAAATGTGTGTTTTGCATAGTCATTGGAAATGCACCGAGTAAGCCACTCTTGCTGGTCTATTACAGTCATTACAATTACACTTTTGTTGCCAGAATCTTCCCCTCTGTCAAACATGGAGCTCATGATGCACAGATTACTGATGCAAACCACCAGCTGGAAAAATGTGTTACACATGACACATTTTTTCAACTGCATTCATTCAAATACATTGTAATTATTCGCCTATCTCTTCCAAGACGGCAGAGCTACAACACATTTCACATCTGCAGAGTGAAAAAAGTACAGGCATAAGACATGCATTTTATCACCGAGCCGGTTCTAAAAGTGAAAGGCCATATGAACCCCTACGCTCGAGCACAACCCCTACACAATATAGGAATTAACATTCAAAATACTTCTCAATATTAGTCTTTGTGATAAAAGCTCTCACGTGCGCTCAGAATGTATGGCGAAAAAAAGAAAATAATTAGCGTCAGTGCCACGGTTCCACTCACGACCCGCGCATGCATCACGGCCCACCAAAACTGATCCTGGAGCCCAGCAGCATCCATGGAGTAAAATCCAAACAAACTAGGTAATCCCAAAAGTCTCAGTAATCCAGTGACCTACTGTATGTGTGGGGGTTACAACATGTTTGGTGCCATTTTTTTGTTTCAATTCAACTGAGAACCACATTCTGCTCTCTGATTTATTAAAGTGAAATTTGTACATACAAAAATCATGTCCATTGTGTTTTTAATTAGAAATAACCACTTTAAACCATTGTTCAGAAAAGAATGAACATGATTTGTGCATGTGACCTGTTATCTGGGGAAACATGTAAAAGGTGTATTTGCAAATTGAAATTAAATTACCCTACTGTCCTTTTAAATTCATTTACAAGTCACATCTTTGGAGAGTCAACTCCAGTAGATTTACACAGTGCTACTTTTAAAGTGAAACTTCAGGCTATATCGTCAATCACAATACATGTTTTTATGCAGTTCTCTTCCTGGCAGACCTAAACACAACTTCATTTTGGAAATAGACCAATAAACTTTGTTAATAAAGATGAATTGGGGAGCACCTGGCTTCACCCTCATTAGCACACGGCTACACAGCACAGGCCTGGGGCAGGAAGCTGGCACAAGGCACAAAAGGGCCTGAAATTATGTGGATTTGGCCGACCGAAAGATGCACCACAAGAAACAGAAAATGGCTCTTTGCAAACACTGGGTCGTTAAAACAAGAAAGCAACATTGGCAAAATTATTATGAAGACTTTCAAAGGGCAATTACATCATTTTCTCTTCAACAAAATGCCGAGAGTGGATCCAAAGGAGGCTGAAACTGATTTGACGTGTCTTTGCTGCTTCAATAACAATAATTCCACTTGTTAATAATTTTATAGCGCAACAGCGAGAAACAATTTAACTCAGATTGATAAGTTCTTCATTAACATAACAAAACAACAGCGGCTGGTTGCCTCAGTTGTGTTCCATTCTGAGCTGGAAATTAATTGATATTAGCAGAAATTAAAGGGTGCGCTCAGATCTGCGTTGGAAGAGTCTTTTGCTCGTGATCCGGCCCCGTGTGAAGTCGCTTTCTCCCTGTTCAAAGTTAACCTCATTAGCCGCGACAGAGCTTTTCATGTGATTAGCCGCCTCACTCTCCTCCGCACAGCAACTTTATCACCACAGCGTTGGAAAATACTATGTCACGCACCAGCTCCACCATTCATTTACTTCAATCTGTCAATTAATTTAGATACGAGGCGCAGAGAGAGTGTGCGCCTTCCAATAGGTTGAAAAAGCAACAAAGGTGGAATAAGTGAGGTGTTGTGGCAGAATCAAATTCAAATCGAAGCTATTGTTGACTGAGCGTTGATAAATGAATAATGCCAATGTGTCTTCGAAAACAAAAACAACAGCGTAACACTGATTTGCAGAGTGAGAAAAGCGCGAGAGAGGAGGTTAGTGGGATTAAGTAAAACATGTGTGATCGGTGTTGGGGTGAAAGCATCGGTTGTCAGCCAATTATACACTTGAGTTGGATTTTTTCTATTGAGCAAAAGTATTAGACGTGAGCTGTGTATGCCTTTCATTAGTATGGTGGGTATGGATAAGGTAATATTAGCAGTTAGGTACAGATTCTATAAGGTAAACACAAAGACAGGAATTTATTATTGATTGCATTGCATACAGCCATTGTCGAGATTGGTTTCCTGCTTGATATACCAATGTAAACTATGTAGTATAACTATATTATTTTTATGTCTGTTCTTATTGAAATAGGAAACATTTGTATTCACGCGGTAGGATTTACATTATCCTTTCTTGTTTGGATGAGAATATCAGAAAAGGGCATTACACATTGAAACGCACACATTATCACTGTTGGCACCTATCAAGAGAACTAAATATAGACTGTATATAGATAGACAATGCTAACCCCCTGGCTCAATGAAGCCTTATAGGGAAAACAAAGTTTTCCTCGGGCTTCACTCCTCCACATGGTGTAATCTTTGTGATTTTCTTTTTGAATAAATCACTTTTGTTTAACAAACTTGTACGGCTCCATCTCTGCCGCCCTAATGGTGCAACGGATCATGGTAGCACTACTACTGTTAAGACTATAGACTAAATAGATTGACAATGCTAATCCGCAATGCTAATCCGCTAGCTAGGAACTGTACTGTGCCGAACTGCTTTAAAGAGTCGACCATCATTCCAGTTCCTAAGAAAACTCCTGTGACATGCCTGAATGACTATCGTCCTGTGGCCCTCACGTCTGTTCTTATGAAAACTTTTGAGCGGCTTGTGCTGGACTTCATTAAGAGCCAGATCCCTGTGAGTGTTGACCCGCTCCAGTTTGCTTACAGACAGAACAGGAGTGTGGAGGATGCCATCTCCTTTGCTCTGAACTCTGTCTACAGTCACTTGGACACTAGTAAATCTGTCGCGAGAATGCTTTTAATAGATTATAGCTCTGCTTTTAACTGCCTTGTCCCAGGTAAACTGATTGAAAAGCTCATGTCTCTGGGTTTAAAGGCACACCGTGTAACTCTTGGCCACTAGGGGCGCTAGACCTGCAACTTTCACGTTTAGCGCCCCTAGTGGCCACAAGCAACTCAGCACTGTCGCAAAAGTCAACAAACAGTCAGCCGGTGTCTTTTGAGTGTGTATTCAGACAGCATGCACTGGTGTGTGTGTTCAAACTGTAGAGACATGCCTACAGATATTGAGAGACTCTGCTGTGGTCAGCCTCCAGACAGCTGCATTAGTAATCTACCACACATGGACTTCTATATCCTGGATGAGGGAGTTCTGCGTCTAGCTCGTGCTGCGTGGAATGACATCTTTGCAGTCGATGACATCCAGGAACCAGGTGAAGAGCAGCGCTCATACAGACATGCAGCTTACAGCACGATCCCTTTCGCGTTTCCTCTTTTTAGCCTCCTCCGAAGGTTTAAAATTTTTCCTTGCCTCAGCCATGACCAGGAGTCGAGCAGGTGAAAAATGAGTAGCAAAAGCCTTAGCTCCATGAGTATATCAGCGCCTGTAGCCGTAAAGCAAGTCTTTCTTCCAAGTCACGTGACCTGGTGGCAGACGGTCCGTCTGCTCGAAACTTACATGGGCGGTATTTCAAGAGGGCAGCCCCGCTCGGAGCATTGCAAGTGTCAAGCGCTGTATATTGGCCCAAGTATTCATATAAAATAACTCATATGTGTCAACTCTTTAGGTCACAAAGTCCGCGGTGTGCCTTTAAGTGTTGCCATGTGTAAATGGATTTTTAGCTTTTTTACTGACAGATCTCAGAGAGTGAAAATCAATGACTGTTTTTCTGATGTTGTTTCTGTGAGCACTGGTTCTCCTCAGGGATGTATTTTGAGTCCTTTGCTTTTTACTTTGTACACTCACGATTGTGTGTCCTCCTCTGACTCAAACTTGATCATCAAATATGCTGATGACACCACCATTATCGGTCTCATCAATGACACTGATGAATCCTCGTATAGAGCAGAGATACAAAATGTGGTTCAGTGGAGTAAAACTAACAACCTCCAGTTGAACGCATCGAAAACATGTGAACTGGTCTACGACTTCAGTCGCAATAGTTCTCATTTGCCTGTCGTAATCGACAACTCCCAGGTGCAGATCGTAGAGGAGTGAAAGTTTCTGGGTTTAACTCTGTCGAACCTGAAATGGGTTAAAAACATTGACCGAGTCGTTAAGAAAGCTCGTCAGCGTCTCTACTTTCTGCGTAAACTTAGAGAATTTACCACAAACTCTAAGATTCTGCTCAACTTTTATTGCATTGAGAGTTTACTTGTTGGTTCTGTGTGGTTTGGAAACATCACAGAAAAAGAAAAGAGATCTTTAAACAAGGTGCTCCGCTCTGCAAAGAGGACCGTGGGCTGTGAGCTTCCTGTTCTGGAGGTTCTTTATAAATCCAGACTTTTAAACAGAGCTCTAAGGATTGTCAATGACTCTTCTGGCCACCCTGGGAAAGCCATGTTCCAGCTTCTTCCCTCTGGCAGAAGATATCGCTCTCTGAGATGCAGGACATCTCGTTACGCTAACAGTTTTTATCCACAGGCTGTTATCAGTGTGAACAGAGCACTTTAATGATTTGCACTTGTTTTTAACTGTTTTAGTCGATCGATTTCACAGTGACATTTGTTTACTGTTTTATTTGTTTTATTTTTGTCTTTTAATGTTGTTTTATGTCTGTATTTGTCTGTGCACACTGGAGACTTTTGCTAATGTATGTGTTTTTTTTACTGCAAATGGCAAATAAACTGAATCTGAATCAATGAAAACTAATGCTCAATCTCACCCTGGCTGCCATTGACTAAACTTCACTAGCTGTGTAATCGTTATGTCACACTTACCATTTTTGTCTTAAAAATTGGTGGTTTAGCGTGATGTATGATCCTGGGGTTTAGATTATGTCTTTGCTAATCCAGTTTTGAGCCACAACAACTGACCAATCAGGGACCTTCTGTTCCCGAATTCATCTAGTGGGAATTGGATGAGGTTGCTTTAGTTGCTAGGTCATTATACCTACATAATTTTCCTCCAGATTCCAGTTCAAACCAGCTCTAATCTGTTTCTTCCACATTAGCCAAACAATATCGGTGATGTCAGCATTCAGTCAGTCCAGTCTTTCGACAGTCTTTGGTCCCTTGCAATCTATGTACTGTATAACATTGAGCAAGCACCACTGAGCAAAGGCCATTCACTTTAATGGGCAGACATCTTTGATTACAACCAAACACCCAACCCATCACTAACTGAGGTCAAACATGAGTCACAACCAGATCTTTGTGGTTGTGTGAACCCACCTTAATGCAGAGAATATGGGTCCCAGCTTTAACCAGCTCGTCGGCCAGTTTCAGGTAGTATTCCAGAGAGTATTTCTGCCTCATGGGGTCGGACACGTCGCCTGTGTACGAGATGGCGGCCTCCACGACGCCTCCTGCTGTCCCTGCCGCCTCCATACCCAGCAGCATGTTGGGCAGATAGTTCAAAGAGTCAAACACCCTGAAGATGTCCATGCCATTCTCCTTGGCCACCTCGCAAAACCTGCAAGACAAGACAAACAGAAGGAGGACGTTAGTGTATAGTATCTTGTTTAATGTTCCAAAGAGCATGTATTTTAAAAATGTGGTAGACAAATCTTGAGAAACTGTTAGTTACTGATCACAAAAAGCTTGTAAATATGTTTTTTTTTGTGTGTGACAAAAACAAAGCTAAAATGACGCAGCTCGACTCTTGTTATAGTCGGGTTCTCAAGTACATTGTAAAATAACCACATTTCTGTTGGGGGTCATACAACTTCTTCATTCAAATTAACAAAACAAATATGAATAGATTATTGAAATTAGTTGATAACAAATAAAGTGAAGGTCAGATGTGGAGAGATTATTGTTACGCAAGTGCCAGTTAGACCCGCCCCCACAGCTTCCTGATTGGATGCTATTTTCCTCAAACAATTATTACCGCTGAGGCTAATGCCAAAGGGAGGGACTGTTTATGTCTTAATAATTAAATATGGTCAGTGATACTACAGGGTCATATGATCAAAAATATATATTTCTACCAAAAAGGAAATCCAATTGAAGTTGCAGATATCACCTTTAATCTATTACAGTCCTTCTAGTTTCAGTTTAGAGCCAATGTCTCTGTAATTGGTGGGCCTATCCACATGAAAATTCTTCAGAACATGACAATGGTCTAACTATTCTCTTATAAAAGTGTTGAGAAAATATTCAGAAGCAAAGCACTTTCAGACCTAGGAATAATATGGCAGCTTTGTGAATATAATCACTATCAAATAATGATCTGGGGGGTAAAACATTTTTCTTTCAAAATAGAGTTGTAAAGGCGCCTGCCCTCCAACTGAAATACAATTCTATCAGATGAAAGCAACCGACTTCTACAGCGTTTGATACAGGCAGATCACCACATAAGCTCTCATATACATAATGAGCTTTTAGAGAGTGTGTGTGTTCTCCGCATAATATTCCACACCTGGGTCAGAATAAGCTGTTTATATCCAGATCCATATCAAGAGTCATAAAAATCTCACTACCCGAGTAAATACAATATTGAGGAGATTTCCATAAAAAGTCCGACAGATTACACAGCCTGCAGGAGCTCACAATATTGTACGCATATTGTCTGCTGGTTGCAAGTGCTAAATCCTGTCTATTAATGCCTTGGTCTGGGCATGTAAAATCTGCTTTTTTCATAAACTGGGACTACGAGTGTGCTGTGTTACCCAAAATGCATTGCTCTCGTACACAGAAAGCCCTTTGTTTGTTGAATAAACAGATAAGGCTAATGTGGAGCCACCAGGGGATTAGCCACTGCATGACTGCGCAGCGTTCTGTTGTACAGCATACAAAATATATTACAATAAGTGATGTGTTAAATGTTTCCAAGGGAAAAAAAAGAAAAACAGGATTGATCAGACAAAAAAATATATTTTTTTAATCGCAAACTGTAGATTTTGCTCACGCCTTGGGATTGTCCCAGATGAGCTGGAAGAAGTGGTTGGATCTGCTTGGTCTGCTGATCCAGTGCTTCGCAGTTCTAAGTGTAAAAAGTGAAATTGTGTTCGAAATTATGTATCTTGACAAGAATCAATACCAGCTTTTACACTAGAGCAGTGTCTCCCAAAGTGGGGTCCGCGGCCCCCTGGTGGGCCGCGAGGGTACTGCAGGGGGGCCGCGGGAGGTCATAAAAAAAAATATATATATATTTAATGTTAAATTTATAATGTTTTGTTTGTAATATTAAAATATTTGTGTTCATTATTTGACTTGAATAATCCACTGTAATCATTTTTGTATTACAATGTTTGTAGCAGGGGCTATTTCCCCAAAATAAAATAACCAGAAGAGCCTATTCTTAATGTTGTCTTCTTGGTTATTATTTTGGGGGGCCACGCAGACCCGTCAGATTTTTAAGGGGGCCTTGGTGTTACTGAGTTTGGGAATGGCTGCACTAGAGCAATTATTCATTATTCTCTGTTTGAAAGGAAGCCTTATGAAAATTGACTTTGTTTTAGATTTTAACCATGTTAAAACAAGGAACAAGCTCCAGTCTCACAGTAATAGTACGTTGTCTGCCTTATAAAGGAAAAAAAAATAAAACATTTTTTTTTAGCAATGTATCAGTTAAGTTACAGTCCTTACAATCACATGGCTGTGTTTGCAGTCGGGAATTTTCAAATTCATCTTCAAAAATATCTACAAAAAAGTGTAATTCTGTCCTCTTCATTGTCGGAGAATGACAGGTTGAGGCAGATTCATGACGCACACATGCGTGGGATGCATTTATTCCAGTTTTAGAGTTCGTCAAAAAAAGAGTTTTTCCAGCATTTGTTAGATAAAAGGACAATCTGCGTCACAGTAAAGACACCAACTCAGGTGTTAGTATAGCTGCAACGACCGAGGCAAAACTCGCCATGACCCGATCACTTCATGTTTTGTTTGTCCATTGTGTGAAGGTCATTTTTCACGACATTGTTCTCATCACTAAATTGTGTTTATTGTCTATATTTTCCCAGATCGTTTTTGTATGAATTAATATCCAATTGTAGATACATTTGACAAAACAAATAGTGATGTGATTGTGGTGCTAGTAAAGGAGCCAGATAGATCAAAAATATACAGTGGATAAACCAAATCCATAGCGTATCCACAGTCTGCTGTGCTTAATTATCAGACCCATTCAGTCTGACGTAACTCAGTCGGATCTCTGAATCGTCTAGACACTCGCGGCTTCCTCTTTGTTACTGTGCGCCCTCTGCTAGTTCCCAAACAGCCAATACAACACGATTGGTTTGATTGTAAATGTTTTCTGTCAAACGTGCCCACTTAGCAGCTTCGCCAGCCTTCTAATCCCCCAGGACCCCGAGGTAAGCTTGATATATCCAGGCTACTCTACTGTGACCTGTGAAATCCTGTTTAAATCAATTATACAAAATGAAATTAGGCCCTGATTTGATTCCGTTAATGAAGATGCTGGAGCCACTTTGCCGCGGGCCACTGCACAGCCAAAAATGTCGAGAGAGAGAGAGATATAGAGAGAGAGAGAGAGAGGATGAGCAGTGGGTCGGGCAAAAACAGATCAAAGTCATTAATCACAATTGTGTGCAAATTTCCAGCGGCACTCCCCCCTTTCAGCAGGACACACCACAACAAGGGAGGAGCGGTGGAAAAGGAGGGAGTGGAAAACTGAATAATTTGATGAATGGAGACCAAGCAAAACATTATGACTAGTTATCATAAGATGGGTTTGTTCAATTGCAAAATGAAAACAATATATAGCAGCGCACCTCGAAGCACTGGGGATTCATCACACTCAGAAACAATGTCGTGAAAATTAAAAATTATGACAATAAAAACACTCAAAAAACACAACAACTGGAGCGGTTCCGACTGTAAAATCGAAACTCATGACGTTGTCGAGGGATCCTACTCTGCATTGGAGACATGGCCACTGAGAGGGCCAAGTAAGAGGACGGTTCCTGTAGAAGTTCAGGAACTGTCTGTAGAAGTTCAGGAACTGTATTTAGAAGTTCAGGTAGAACAACATGTTGGAGATGGAGTTTAGTAAGAAAGACATTTTTCTTCTTTATGCCCTGATGTTAGGGACAGTCAACATAAAAATGGGAAAAACAATATGATTAATTCAGAAGTTGAACTGTGCCATTAATAAACTAGGGAAATAGCTGACCAACATTAAGATAAGAGGTTTTGTAAATAAGAATACAAGCATGCCCATATTTATCGATCAAAGAACCCATAAGAAAGATCCACAGGAGTCACTGGACTCATGGACAGACGGAGCATCGGTGGTCTGCTCTTTCAGCAGTCAGGAAAAAAATGTAGTTACAAAATGATTCACAGAATGTGCAAACGAGTTCGCGAAAGCTGAGAATGAGGTACATGGATTAAACACTGAAATCTTCATTCATGGTGAGAGAAATAAAAGCTTGCAGCAATGCCATTGATTGTATTGTACTATGAGATCAAAGCACAGGCGAGTTTTAGGATCTGTGTCTTTCGTGTCTGAGAGGGAACCTTTCCTGCAACAGATCTCAGACGATGATCAAAAGGAGCCATCAAAATTACTGCTCTGGTACTTCTAGTCATTTCAGAATTCTGGGAGTCAAAGTGTCAATACACTGTTTAAAGTTGTATTCCTCAACTGTCCTGCTCGCTAGCCACTTTTATCTTGGGTTCCTCCAAAGATGACTTACTAATGTAGCCCTCAGCCTTTGAGATAATAAAAAAGTCAATAGTGCCATTCAGCCAACTTCAGCTTCAATATAGGCATGTAATATTCAGAACCTCTGGAATCCAGTTGTTGACTTTATTTATAAACATTTGTTTCATTATTGGCATGTCATACCTAATTTTAAAGCTCAAAACATGAGTTTAACAGTTTAGCAATCCTTGTTATCAGCTCTTGAAAAGTTCTAGAGAGTAAGCCCTCTCACTAAAGTTGCAATGATATATCTATTGCGAGAAGTAAGTAAGTGAGTAAGTAATCTTTATTTATATACCGCCTTTCACAGACCAGAGACACAAAGCGGTTTACAATTGTGGGCATTTGTCTCTCCACACAGAGATGGGAGCGGGGTCGCCAGTACAGAAGGCGCATGCCAGACCTATTGTACATGTTTTTAGTGGTAGGGGAAACCGTAGTACCCGGAGGAAACCTACACAGACACGGGGAGACCATGCAAACAGTCTTACTGAGAAGCAAGAATACTATGCACTCAGCCACCCAGAAGAAGAAGCAGGTATCAGACCACTTCACAAAAAGAGCAAGCTTTTATATCAACATGGGCGTCACAACAAAGACGCCAACCCACAGATCTTAGGTAGCCCAAAAAACTGTTGGTCCTAAAGACCTGATCACTTGAAGTGCATTTTGTGGAGGACAGATTCCAAGGGACAGTGATTGATTATGATTTGAATGCCTTATCTATCTTGTTTTGTTAAGCACGTTGAGTTGCCTTGTTTATTAACTGTGCTACACAATTAAACTTGCCTTGAACTGTATGG